CACGACCACGACCGCTGGTACGGCCACGCGTTGGAGCTCGACAGCCACAACTACAAGTTCACCGGTGAGCCGCCGAGCTGGATGCGGCCGCGCGAGCGCACGGAGGAGGAGACGAACTTCGCCAAGTCTGTGCTGCCGCACGTGGACTTCGCCAGCAGCTACGAGTGCCTCCTCTTCGACGCGGACCGGCTGAACGGGCACCTCAACCGCAAGGAGTTCGGCAACGAGATCCGCTACCGCCTCGAGAAGCAGTCGAACACCGTTGCGCGCGCGCAGCAGCTGCTGAAGGACAAGAAGGCCGGCGCCGACGAGCGCGTGGAGAACACGATGATCGCCCGCGTCTTCGACGAGGAGCACGTGCAGGCGGAGATGAAGTACGTGAAGTGCATCCGCGCCAACGAGCTCGCGGAGGACAACCGGCTCGACATCCTCCCCGGCGGCTCGCCCAACTCGCTGCGCGAGAAGACGCGGTGGAACGTCAACACCGAGCTGCACCCCGCCGACCGCGCGGAGATCGGCGCCCGCCTCACCGCGTGGCTGCCGGAGAAGTACCACATCGTCTACTTCGACGACTTCCAGACGGTCGCCGCCAACGACCCGGTGGCGCGGCGCGAGATGCTGAGCATCGTGCAGAACGTCGAGAAGGAGTACGCCGCGGAGGCAAAGACGGGCGGCTACGAGACGGACCTCAAGGAGGTCGTGCAGGAGCTCCTCGACGACATCGACCCATCGCGCCACATCACCACCGACGCGATCAAGAAGTGCAGCGACCTCGAGCAGCTGGAGGAGTGGTCGCACACGGTCCACGAGTACAACGGCGACGAACGCATCCTCGACATCTATGCACGCGCGGCGGAGCTCACCAAGAACGCGGACCACCAGGCCCTCGTGAAGAACATGCGGGAGTGGTATAAGCTGGCGAAGAAGATTTAGACGGCAGCGAGCGGGGCGAGGGGCGAAGAGATCCGCATGTGCCATTATGAGGCTTGTAAGTGGCGACGGATACGAATACGACGGTGGGTGGTGATTTATATGTGTGTGTGTGTGTGTCTGTATGAGAGGCCGGTGAGCAGGGGCGGCGGCGCGAGTGACAACGACACAGGTGTGTCCTCTAACACCCGCCTCGCTTAACGGGTAGGAGGACACTTTCTTTTTCTCTTTGCTGCTGCTGCAGGTGCTGTTGGCGCTAGTAGCTGCTGAAAGGTCAAGGAAAGTGTTGGGGGGGGG